TTTTTTTTTTGGTTTGTTTAACTCAGGTCAAGGGTCATACTTATGAACCTTTCATCTATCATATTGTGTAGGCCACTTGGTCTTGGGAGAAAATGGGGCTTCTCCCTTGAAACTAATACCCGAGACTCGCTTGGTGAAATCTGCAGCTGTATTTATGTCTGGTTTGCAGGGTACTTCAAGGAATGCAGTTAATATGTCAAATACAATGTTCCAAACAGGCTCGGGGAAAGCAGTTAACATATCTTCAGCCGGCCTACTTAGAGCAAAAAGCTTATTAGGTCTGGAGGAAAATTGGGACCAAGAGTATGGAAATGGGTTTGAGCAGAAACAGCAACAGCCGAGTTCTACCGAGCTCCTTTCTTGGGAAAATCTATCTCATTTACAGACCAAGGACCCAAGTAACTTAACCATTAGTAGTGCCACTAAGGTTACATCATCCATAGTTAAGTCTGGTTCTGAGATAAGTGAATCATTGAACTTTCCTGATTTCATGAACACTGCCGCCAAGCCTCCTCCAGTCAAATTCCTAACTGCTAGCGGTGCCGCATTAAAACGAGCAAAGAGCTTGCTCGGAAATCCTGAGTGTGACTCATTTCTTAATGAAGCAAGCACAGTCGAGCTAATGCTTCCTTTAGCTGATGATGGAACACCGGTTGTGCGTCAAACCCAAAGAGAGAGTTTAGTACGCCATTTTCAAGAAAATTTAAAGAAAATGGTGACAGTTCATCGAGCATGTTTACATCTCCCCATGGATCACATTTACTCCGAAAGCAGTCATTTGGTAAGTCCCAAAATCTACACCCAGGGAATAACTTGATTACACGGTTTGATGCAGAGGTCGGACTCAACAGTTCTAACAGGCATTCTAGTGACCTTAATTTTGGTCGACAGCAGCTGAAGAATGAACCGTACTCAGGCAAAACTGATGTGGGAAATGCTTTTCAGCATAACATTGTTCCGCCCAAGAGGTCTTCCAATGGGGCACTGGTGGATATTTCAAATACCATGAATACAGATTGCCAGGATCACAAACAATATTTGGGTGATAAGAAAAGACTTGGCAGGACTAGTTCCTCATCTCCGTTCAAGAGGCCCAAAGGTTCATTTGTTACCCCTTTAAAGAAAAATAGCATTTCGGCTACTAAAGGTAAAGTGATCAAGTTCATGGCATAACCTTAGTGTTCAAATAAAGTACTGTTTTCGGAGGTTCAGAGGCATATATTTCTTCTAGATTTACATAGGTTAGCACCAAAAGAGGCGTCCTGCAAACAGAGGGTTTCCACGAGATACCCACTTCAGGCTTCACGGGCGTATATTAAAGAGTATCTTTTGCAGCCTCCTTCGGTCCAAAAGGAGGTAATAGTATCCACATTCAAATTCATTTGCTACTAATCCCTTTGCTTTTGAATTTGATAGCTTATGTTATTACTGTGAAATTAGCTGGAGAACTTGCCTGAATATGTGAAGAGAATGAACCCTTCTGCTGCTGTGAGTTACACATTTACAAAAGAAATACCTCCAGATTGTAGCGGACCAGAAGCATTTTACGGGATGTTGTCTCAGTATGGGGCTTCAGTTCCATACTTGACCAAAGAGTAATAGTTCTTTTTCTTGCTATGTAACCTTGATCCACAATAATTTACGGAAGGGTGATAACATGTGCATTGGTTTATCAGTTGGTCCTGAAGGAATAATTTTTTAGCTATCAGAACAGCGTCGTGTTATCTGTAATGTGTACCTACTTAAAATCCTGGCTTTCTGATAATACTAAAACCTAATAATAAACTTCGATTATGCATTCGTCATAGTTCCTGCTAGTGTGATGCTTTTGGTTGATGTGTATTTCCTTTTGCCCTTCTCCCAATTATCTTTTCGTTAATGTAGGTGGGTGGCAAACCACTATAAGTGGATACTATGGAAACTTGCCTCTTACGAAAGGTGCTATCCTGCTAAATTTGCTGGAAAACTGTTAGTTGTCTCTAATGTACTCGAAGAACTAAGATACAGGTATATACGATTGAATTGTTACTTATTTTAGTTACTTCTTTCTGTAATTTAATTATCTTCTATCCGTGCATAGATATGAGAGAGAAGTAAATCATGGGCATAGGTCACCCATCAAGAAGATCTTAGATGGAGATGCACCACCTTCTTCAATGATGGTTCTCTGTATTTCCACTGTTAGTGAGAATCATGACCTCAGGTCTGGAAATCATATTGTTTCCCCAGATGATGGCAAAGATAAAGCTCCAGCAATTGAATTAACTGATGGGTGGTGAGGATTTCTTTTCATTAATGCTTTTTCTCAGAGTTAATTTTTCAACTAACTAAAGAATCTATTAGGTACTCTATGAAAGCTCTGTTGGATGAACCCCTATCTCAGAAGCTTGCTTCAGGGAAGTTGTTTCTTGGGCAAAAGCTCAGGGTAAAGTATATTTTCTTGTGTCTATATAGTGCAATCGACTCAATTTATGAATTTTTGTCAATATTTTCTGCTGCTTACAGTTTGTATTGTCTATCTGAAGATCTGGGGAGCAAAACTTAGTGGGTGGGTTGGGCCTGTTTCACCCTTTGAGGTCTATCCACTGTCACGTACTTCTTGCGCACTTATTCAACATTTGCTATTTGGTACTTATAAGCAGTGATATATCTTGTATCAGGCATATCAGACAACTAGTTTATTATTGCATATGAACGGTACATACAGATGTCATTGGGCTGAGCGGCTGGGATTCTGTACGGACTTGTCATTCTCGTGATCTTTTTGCAATTTTCTTGGTTCTGTTAAATATCTCACATATGTTCTTGTCCTTTCCACATAGGCAAACATGCTTTTGGTCCATTGGCATTCAGATGCATCAAGGAAACTGGAGGAGCAGTCCCCAGTACTTTAGTTGGCGTAACTCGGATATACCCACTTCTCTATAGGGAAAAGTACACTTATTCCTTCTTACCACTATGGTGAAATAACTTATTCCCTTGTTTTTATTTGATATGGGTAACATTCTATACAGGTTAAGTAATGGGAGTTTTGTTGTGAGGTCCGAGAGGATAGAAGCAAAGGCACTGCAAATGTATAACCAAAGGTAACAATTGCTTTGCCCATTTTATTCAGTTCTTTCATTCATCGTAGATTGCTTAATAAGAATGAAAAAACTGTATGTGTCTGCGAATAATTTATTCGTAGTTTTCATTCTCAAGTGTTTATTTCATTTATATATGCTGAGTGGTATTAAATATGGATAGTGTGATCCAATAATTTAAATGGAGGGGAAATTAGTGCACCAGCTACGGACATGGTTATATGATCCAGTTCATAAAAATGGGTTAGCAATCATATCTTTTACATTTCTTGTTTAAGAAATGCTGGAGAATTGTAGGAGATTCAATTTTGTTTTGACTACTCTGATATAGCTTGAATTCTATTTCATAACGTTTAAATGGTTCAGTATCATTAGTTAGTTACACAGTCATCGCAAAGGAAGAATTGAGAAAACTGTGTTTTTAGCACTAGCCACGAGGTCACCATTGTCAAAATGTTACCTACCTTGACATATCCCAACTCAATTATCTTCAGTTTTCCAATACCAACAGTCAGTTATTTTATTTTTCATTTTCTTTTTACATTTGACCTGGAAAGGCCCAGAAACTGTAAATTCCATTATACATTCCGTCTAAAGTCTCATTTTTATTGTTGCCCTGTGGCTTCTGATAACATGAATATAATTGTTATCGGATATTGATGGGTCTCTTGATCAGTTCATATTTTCTTCATCTCACACTAGATGTATTTCAGGAGTCACAGCTAAATGACGTTCATACTCTTTAAACAATGTTTCAAAATGAGTAGAAGAGATGTTCTTGATTCTTTCACCGTCTTTTATATCCTTATTTATTTAAATATATATATATTATTTTGAGTTCAGGCGTGATACAATAGTTGAAGGTATCATATCATCATTTCAGAGAGAAGCCGAATACGATCTCGGTGGTGATCATGAAAGCGAAGAAGGGGCCAAGCTTATGAAGCTACTCGAGACAGCTGCTGAACCAGAGGTTTTAATGGCGGGGATGAGCTCGAAGGAACTAACTTCCTTTGCATCTTATAAAGCTAAGTTGGAGGTATGCTATGTTCATCTTTCTTGACTCACCATCTAGACTCGAGCTTTTACGAGCCGAACCATAAAAAATTATATAAAAATTCTCTCTTCGATCCTTAGTGAGCCTTATCACGCCGAGCTCGGCTCGTTAACCAAACTAGCTTTAAATGAGCTCTAGCTGAACTCGAGCCCTAACGAGAACCGAGCCGAGCCAGGCTCGTTTAATTTATAACCTACTACAACTCTAATATAATTTCCCCTTTGATGCAAGTCGAAGAGGCAGTCAGAGATGCAAAAGTCTATTGAGAAAGCAGTGGAGGATGCTGGGCTTACTGAGAGAGATGTCACTCCATTTTTGCGCATTAAAGTTGTTGGCTTGACAAATAGATGCAAAAATTCACGGAAGTCTCGTCCACATCAAGGCTTGATAACATTGTGGAACCCGACTCAAAAACAGGTGAATTTTTGTACTTGTTTAAGGCAGATTTATTTTACTCCATATTTTATCTCCCTCTTTCCAAATATAGTTATTCACTTCTGGGTTTTATGTCATTTCTCTAGACACTACAGCTCTGTGAAGGGAAATCATATGCTGTTAAAGGTCTTCTACCATCTAAGTCTGATCCGTATACCCTCTGTTTACAAGCAAGAGGATCGTCCAGCAAGTGGCTGCCTTTGTCCCCCGTGATGATGGAAAATTTCGAGTGAGTGGCTGCAAAGATCTGCATTACTTTATTAGGAAAAGGGTCAAATAGCCTTTTCACTCATTTGTTTTGTGATGGTTTGGAAGTGTCAAATGGCCTTTTTTCTCACTTGTTCTGAGGTTATTGGAAGTACGATAAAAATTGTTTAATAATGGTTCTTGCAGGCCATTTTTTGATCCTCGCTCTTCGACTGCAATATCGACGTTGAGTAAAGTCCCTCTGTCCGGGTAGGAATTGTGGATTATATCATTGAATTATCAATCAATTATGTTTCTTTTGGAAACTATAAGGTGTTAATTGCCCGATAACGATTGTGTGGCTTTAACAGGGAGTTTGACATTGCTGCTTTCATCGTTTATGTGGGAGACGTGTATAGGCATGGTCATCAACAAAAACAGTGGGTATTTGTAACAGACGGGTCTACTAAAGAAGTTTATTCGTCAGATGCAATACTGGCAATTAACTTCTGCCTGCCATGGGTTGAATTTGATTCTTGTGCACCAGTAAACTACAATGCTGCTGGATCTGTGGTAAGTATTTCAAATATTTAATAAAAATTCTTGGATGGCCACAAAGTGTGTATTTATTTATTTATTTATTTATTTATTGTTGCTTCCGTACAATTCTTTCGAATCAATTATTTGTTCGCTTAAGCGTAAGAAAATCGCCTACGACGCAGAACTTTTGAGCAGTCAAATATCCTATGCAATTACGTAAGTTATATTAAACATTATTATTGGTACATTTATTTTTTCTCATAGATGATATGGTAATGTTACTGCAAATGCATCAAATTTTTAAGAATATGAAGTGGATTAAAACTTCAAAAAATGATCTTGGGAGATTTACAGTGTCACTTTTATAATTATAGAATTTGACGACAGTCGATATGCTTGACTAAATTAGTCATGTTCGCAGGTTGGGTTCGTTAATCTCACCAAGAGACCAAGAGATCAAGTAAATGGCCTGTGGGTGGCTGAAGCTACTGAAAACTCGGATTATTTTCTAAGTTACGATCAAAAGTGTGGAAACCACTTGAAAGAGGTAGCTGCTTCTGTCTTAAAATGGGCAAATACATCAAAACTGGTATGCCTTTGTCACTATACGATATTTGATTTCATGATTTGTCATGCATTCCTTCTCCACTTTTTAAATATTTCCATGATTTTTGTTGACTCAGGTAATCGAGAAGCTGCAGCGGAACATTTTATCGATAATCCGAAACTCACAAGACAGAAGCCGATGACCTATTTAATCACATAAATGTTGAATTCCCTTTTAAGGATTTTGTATCACAAGGCTGCATGAAAATTTGGCATGGTAATGTCTAATTTCCAGCCTGTTTCAAGTTGTCTCTAGTAATTTTTTGTTTGTATAGTTATTATTTCTTTTTGGTTTTCACCAAATAAGCATTATTCTGATTGCAGAACTCAATGTAAAGTAATATTGATCTGTTAGCTGAGTTTGTGTACTACACTACAAAACAGTTCATGTTTTTGTTCTCTGTAGATGTCAGGTTACAGCCAGCAAGGAAAATCATCAGCTTTTTCAGAATTTATTTGGACTTGATTATTTTTTTTTTTTTTTTTTTTGAGATTTTTTTGGCAAATAATTTGAAATTTGGTGCATTTAGTTCAATTTTTGTAGCAGTTGGCTGTTGAGGCAAATAATGTGATTTTGCATCTTTTGGGATAATTTTTTTTTTTTTTGGTCCCTTGGAAACAAAATATTTCTATAATAATCAATAGAGAAGCTGTTCATTAATGAGCACAAATTTAATCTATTAAGAAATTTATTATAGGTTTTTTTTTTAATAGATAACTTAATTTATTCTTTTTTAAAATTTTTTTTGTAGTGTTAACTTATAATCATATATATGAGACTGTAGCGTTTTCCATATAATGCAAGGAGATTTTACGGTCCCGTTATGGAATCATTTTGTCGAGGTTTGTAACCGTTAGATCAACTATCCCCGATGGTTATATGATGATTTAACAGTTACAAATTTCGACGAAATGGTTCCGTAACGGGGTTGTAGCATTTCCCTGTAATGTAACTTTTCTGCAACAAAAACATATTTTCACAATAAATGGAGATGCTGAACAGCTTTTAATATTTATTTCAAATTCAGAATCATAGTACAGAGATTTCATACAAAAGAAGCATAGAGACCAACTTTTGACGAAAAATCTCAAACAGTCAATTTTCCCTAATTCTGGCAATTGGCTGATTTTTGTAACTTTTGTTCCCTCAAACTGTAGCATAAGAAGTTCTTTGATTTATTTATTTATTATATTTTATTTTATTTAATTTTTTTTTGTCAGCAGATAAAAATATTTTCCTTCTCAAAAGAGCCAGATTTGTCAGGCGCTTCTCAACACGTATCAGCACAGACAAAATTAAAAAGAAAGCCCCATATGATTACAAATTTTTTTAGCATGCTTTCTTGCAAATAATAATTTATAAAAAAAAAAAAAGTGTAGATCAAAAAATTGAAAAAAATAAAAAAGACAAAACGCGACAAACATGACTGAGAAGACAAAGAAAAATACCTGAGAAGCGTATCAAATAGTACGTACTTTTTTTATGCATTTATTTTTCTTTTGGCTGTCTTTAAGTGACGGTCAGTTACCGTTTTTGTGAACCGATTTGATAATGTTAGATGCTTACAGTTTTACGGAACCATTCCGTCGGTTACATGATGATCTAACAGTTAAAAACTCCGACGGAATGTTTTCGTAACGAGACCTTATTAGCATTTTCCCGAAAGGTATTGTCTTGCATAGTTAGCCAAATCGATCCTGGAATAAAAAAATCAGTTCGTGAAAACTAAAAAATCAACTTCATCAAATGTTCATTGACATTTTTTTTTTTTTCATTATAAGATTATATAACCCAAATCATTTCACCAATAATATAGTTCTTATGAAGAGTACAATAAAATCAATTATTTAAACATTTAAATTTCAGATCATTAAATGACAAAAAAATGGAAAAATTTATTGTTAGATGTCGAAAAATGTGAAAATTGTTACTAAAATGTATCCTAAAATGCTACTATATTTTTCATTCAAACCTTCCTCAAAATTATTAACATGCTCAAGCTCCTGCAAAAAATAGTAGAAAGTTATAGATAACAAGAAAAAAATTCCTCACATATATACATACATTATCACATCCTTTTTTTTTTTAATTATTTTTTTTGTTTTTTAATATTCCCTTTCACCTATCTCCCTTTTTTTGTCCTTTTCCTGTCAACACTCTTAACACATTTCTCCTCTCTCTCTCTCTCTCTATATATATATAATGCAATGCAATCACTTAGAAAAATTATCAAACTTTTTGTTTGTAACAAGAGAACCCATTGAGAATAATGGAACAATATGAGGGCAACAAAAGCATTCTAAGAGGTTGTATCAAGACAAGCAAAGGCCCGTGGCTCGTTCGTCGGGTCACGAAAGATGGTGGGCTCGTGACCAAGTTTCGCTACCCGTCCGATCGAGAGCGCATGAACAACAAGCAAAGGGAGAGGAGGAGACGGGCCGTGGCCCACAAAATCTTTTCCGGGCTTCGGGCCCACGGAAACTACAACCTTCCCAAGCACGCCGATTCTAACGACCTCCTCAAAGCGCTTTGCAACGAAGCCGGGTGGCATGTTGAGGAAGATGGGAGAATTTTCAGAAAGGTGTGTGAATTTTTTTTATTTTATTTATTATTATTATTATTAAATTTTGGGAAATGATAATTGTTCTTTCTGTTTTTTGGGTATATATTTGTAGCAATCGGCCTCGATAATGCCGGGCTTGGTCGATGTCGATTTTCGTCAAGCTTCTTTGATTGGCTTCCGATCTCAAGACGATAGGTTTTGTGAATGTGATGATATTAACCTAAAAGGCCCGATTTTCGAGCCCGATACCACTCTCACTCTCTAGCTCATTAATTAGCGAGATAACATGTTCGAAACAAGAAAGCAACTCGCGAAAGATGACTATGTTGTGCTCGGTTTATTGTATTTGTAATGGTGGTGTTATAATTAACCTTTTACATATCTACGTTCTTTTCATAGTAGCCGAGTATTTTATTTTTATATTAGTTAAATATGCTCAAGAATAATACTTTTGTGACAGATTTATGCTGTTCATTTGTGATATTTTAGAATTTTCATAGGTTCATTCATTATTTAATATTTATAGTCCTAAAAAAAAAAAGAAACGAAACAACAATTTTTTTTGGTCTAATCAAAATTTCATAATATAATCGTAAAGTATTTCATTCCAAACATCGGGAACTCCCGGGAGGCACCAATGCACGCAATCCGCGTATTTGCTCATGTTTTTCAGTTGTTCGTTAGACGCGACTCCCCAAAATGTCCTATGGGTCGACGGGTGAGCGTCTCCCCTGTAAGACGAAAGCTGAGTTATGTTGAGATATTGTACTCTCACTCCTCTGTTTTCCAGCTCCTTCAGTGTCGACTCGATTATTCGATCCATCTCGGGACTCATCAGGCTTCGCCAATACGCCTCGTCGAAAGTCGGCTCGTTTAGGTTGAAACACGTGTGGTGCGCTCCCCACATTGTACTCCTACAAATACACACAACCAATAGGAAGAGAAAAAAAAACAACAAAATGTTACTAGCCTTAGTAGTATCCCCGCACTCGATAAGTAATAAGTAGTAATAACTAGGGTTGCAGACGAGCCGAATTGAGTCAAGATTGGCCTTATAGAAGCATGATTGATTTATTTTTACCTGCCCGAGCTTGCCGAGCTCGAATTATGACACTCGAGATGGACTCGACAAATGAAGACAATCGCTCGAGCTCGGCTCTAGATCGATTGAAATCAAAGTACTCAAAAGATTGCTCAAACTCAGCGCGAGTTCGACTCGACTTTTAAGTAAAATTATCATGTATGAAATATTGTAATATTTATATATAAGGAGTATTTTAGTAATTCGCTATATATCTCGAGCCGCTCGCGAGCAGCTCAACCTTCCAAAACCTATGCTCGAGATCGACTCGATAACATGCCCGAGCCACTCGAGCTGGTCCTCGAGCTTTGCCTCGAGCGTTCGGCTTGGTTTGCAGCCCTATTAATGACATTTACGTACCCCTCACGGTAAGCCGTGGGACCCACGAAGAACAACTTGGTCTTATCTCGATCGACGTGCATTTCGACCCAATTCGACCACGTGCGAAGCGCGATTTCGTACGGGAGTAGCTTTTTGTTCACGGTTTTCTTGATTGCTTCGGGGCTTCCAAATGATCCCCACCTGAAAAATTAAAAATTACTTATTAGTTTAAAACTTTCATTTTCTATATTTTCTGAGCACATTTGGGAGAAGAAATCAAAATACACAAACAAGAACACAAAAATGAGTAAAAAACTAACTCACAAGAGGGTTATATCGCGCGGGCCCGTCCACCACATGAACGAGTCGAACACCAATATATCCGCATCGTTCCAATTCCTCCCGTGACCTTCGATCGACTTAATACGGACCACACGAGGCCAAACACGGTGCTTTACTATGTCGTCGCAATTGGACTCGACGAGAAGTGGGGACCAATAGAACTCGATCGACGCATTGTATTCCTTTTCAACCAAATTTACGACCAAACTATTATTACGCGCAAAATAATATTCCGATTGAAACCATAATGCATGGAACATTTGATGAAAAAACGATTATTATTATTTTTTTTTTCGTGACACTTACAATGGAGCGAAAGTAGAACATGTTTCCGCTCAATATTATCGATCTTTTTGCCGTTGCCGGGAGATAAGAATCGACAAGGCAAAGCATCGATTTCCATAGGTTCCGATTCAAGGAGTCCCCCACGTAGACGAGCCTTTTGCCTCTTATTTTCTCCAAGAGTGCAGTGCCATTGAACCTATATATGAATTAATAAAGCTATCTTTGACATAATGTGTCGACAATCGACATAAAAACGACGACAAAAAATTATTGCGATGTTTAGTGATTGTTGACTTCAAGAATATATATAGCCTATAATTTCATTTTTTTTGTTAAAAAAAAAAAAACCAACCTTGGAATGTCACAACCATGAGGCTTCCATCTCCAGTTTTGATATTTCAAATCCTTTCGACCAAACTTCTCGCACGCGAAATCGTCTTCCATAAACGAGCATTTTCCTTCCTTGTACAACGGGTACGACAAATTGTCGTAAACCCACGTGCCCGAAAATAAGTCGCAACCTTTGACCGGGCCGTTTTCGACCCGCGGGTTTTCAATTGGGTCTTCGTTTTGGATAAGAACATGCGGGTCGACCGAGTTGTTTCGGGTCAAGTGAAGAGAGACCGCAATAAGGGTTAGAAGAGCTAGGCTTACAAGCTGAGGGGATTTCAGTTTTGATTTCCATGTTTTAGCTGCCAATTTTTCGTTTTTCATAATCCTTAAGGCTTTTGGACCTATGAATATATTGTTATAGCATATTAGCATGTTGTGGTATATAATGGGGATAATTTTGTCACGTGTTTATTTTATTAATGAATTATATTATTATGGCACGTGTGGTATTAAGTTGAAATGGAAGTTTTTAATTAATTGTTAGTAGATGCAAATTATATAATTTGAGTGCATATTTTCTGGACTTAATTTGTTTGCCTATTATATTTGTACGTTGTAAGGAGATTTTGGAGTTACGTTGTAATGATTTGATGGAAGAAAATGAGGAAATTAATTAAAAGATTGAGATAATGTGAAGAATTTTGTTGCCTTAATCACAAATATAATATCATATCCTCTTTGATTAGTTTCATCTGATATGATTGTTCCACATTAATTTTGAATCAATCTACTTTACATAATGAGTTCGATAATTTAAGGTTAATGTGATGTATATAATAACACGATTATAACATTTGATATAATGATTAGTATTCATTGATTTTAGCACGTGTGTATTATAGCATGATTATAACACGCCATATATATAAAAATATAACATGATTATAGCACGTGTGTATTATATAAAAATCCGTTTCATTCTTTATGGTATATATCGTTTTTTATTTGCTATGAATCCAACAGTTAACTTCATAGTGGAGTCAATTTTCTATATACAACAAGTAAATTATACTATAGTATCTGATTACTTAAATAGATACTAATAATTTTATTAATATGACACGATTTACTTGTTTTATATAAAAGGTTGATTCCACTATGGAGTCAACCGTTGGCTTTATAACAAAACATATGATTCTTAATCAAGGAAATAAATAGCTCGCTAAAGTTGCCGCTATTTGAGAAATAGTTTTTTTTGGCAACGTGCCGCTATTTGTATTCATGTGCAATTTAGCCGCTAAATCCCGCTAAATCTCCGCTATAGCTACAGTGTCATAAACGTTTTAGCCCGCTATTTAAAACCTTGTTCTTAATGTTAATCTAACTTCTAAAATCAGCCTAGGCTGTCGCCTAAGCGGTAGCTAGGCGCTAGGAGGTGTTCGGCTGCTTCTGATTTGTATAAATCGGCTGAAAAACTTGGTCAGGCGGCTAGGCGGACCTAAGCGCTCCTAGGCGGGCTCAACGAAAATTTTTTGACTTTTTTTTTATTTTTTAAATAATAATCACATTATTTTATTATCATATTTTCTTTATAATATACTAATATTATTATTTGGACTTAGGTGTATACTTATATTATATCTGATATAGTTTTATTTTATAAGTAGGAAAAATAAATAAAAAATAAGGTATTCAATATTGAATTTTAGGTCCCGCCTATACGCTAGTCGAGCGCCTAGCGACTTCAAGAACACGAATAATATCGTATTGTATTAACTAATTCATAATAGTTCCATAATTTCAGAATTGATTAATGTAAGAATAACTTTGGCGGAAATTCAGATTTTGGCTAGAAATTAACCTTCCATATTCTCATATCTTCTATTATTTCTTTATCATGAAAAATTTAAAATTTAGGTCAAAATTGTTTCCAAAGTTCAAATTCAAAAGTTATGAAATCGTTAGAGATCAATTACATTTTAGAGGGTTTGAGTTGTCAGATCACATGTGTGATCTGACGGCTCAACGGCTCAAACACCAAACCTACACATGTACGTGGAATGGAAAATCGAATCTTCCGAAGGGATACCATGACGAGGTTATATGCAATAATAAATAATACATTCTATTATTTTTCTTGGCAAATTAATATTAATGGCTTTAAGTTTGCAATTTCGAACCCTGAAATTGAAATGCTAGGATTCCAACGGATATCGTCACCTCCTCAGGCTTGGATGCATGACTTGACCACGATTTTCGAGGGGTGTGACCGCGCGTCGCAACGCGGCAAAATTATAATTTATATTTTTCCTTAACTTACTTCTACCAACTAGTAGTAGTAGCGAGCAAGGGTCGAACCCACAGGGAGTGTGAATTAAATTGTGAATTTCTTGTATTAATTGAATTAAGAAAGCAATAAAAAGAAGGGGGATTTGAATTTAAGAACTAAATTAACTAAAATCCTAATAGAGAAAATAATATCTAAACAATGAAAATAAAAATAAAATAGAATAAATAAAGAGAAATTTCTAGTTCACGGTTCCGTCTACACCCTCGACTGACTCATCTAATCAATTCTAGTATCAAATCTCGCTATCTATAGAATTACTAGCCCTAGGTAACGCCACGGGCTGTTACCCGAATTTTTCCTTATTTTTAATCTAACCGCGAGACGCTCTACGATTAAATCTGACCTCTTGAACAGTCTAGGAAACGCTTCCTAAATTTAATTCAATTAGCCGCTTTACGAATTAGAAAAATAGGCTAGACTAAGTAGTGAACTCAACCGCGTTCGTTCACTTAAATAGGCCGTGTTATCCCCGGTAGTTACCATCTTCCGGATACCACTTACGAATTAAACACATCAACAATTACGGATTGAAGGCCTAATTCAGGTGTAGATATGAAAAGCCTAATCTAGGTGATCAATCTAAATAAGACTCAACACATCATGGTTAATTATTCAAAATAACACAAACAATTCTAAAAAGATAACTCCATAATCAACCATGTAAATCAATCAAACATCGTCAAGTCATAGGGTTCAACTTCCCCGGAACTATAAATAAAAATTAGCCTAACATAATAAATAAAAATACATAAAAGATAAAAGAGAGAGATTAATTATCTCCCTCGTGTGCGGGTGCGGCCTCCCTCCGCAATTCGTCGGACTCTCTCGTATCTGTCTGCGTTCTCTGTTCGCGTGCCTCTCTGTTTCCGTGCGTCTCTTCTTTTCTCTGCGGGGCGGCGTGAATAAAATTTTTTTCCAAGTATATGTCGGCTTGCTTATAAATAAATCCTCCTAAATAATTCTCCAAGTCTCCAGTTAAATTGCGGCTGCTAAATAATTCCTCTCAGGTTTGCTAAATAATTTTGTCTTCCTAAATTGAGTCATATCAGGCTTGAGTTTCCAATTGGCACACGCACAACCAATTAATTTCATCCCAAGTATTTAATTCCCCAAGCCTTGCGTGAATTGTTTATGTGGGCCTTCAAATCAAATTTGGACTTTTATTTAACTTGTGGCCTGTCTTGATCGGCCATGAAGCACTCTTATACTGATGTAGTCAAATTTTCGTTTGGTACCATGTTGCCCGTAAAATTCTCCAATATCCTACAAATAAGACATAAAAATATCATAGCATTTGCATCTATCTAATAAATAAATAAGTCAAAAAATATATAAGTGCGATAAAATTATGCGTATAGAAATACGCTAATCAATATATAAACCACACACTTTTTTCGACCAATCAGGGTGTCTCACCCACGTCGCATTTTAGCTTCATAGACCCCGGGCCTTTGGCCTCCATCTTTGTAAAAAAAAGAAAAAATAAATGCTAGGAACATTCTTCTTCTAAAAAACATTAACAAATTTCCATCAAACAGAACTATTTCCTCTCACATATTAAACAACTCCACAGTCAATTTTCATTTGTTTCTAAAATGATAAAAAAAAAAAATCAAGAAAATCAACCGATATATAGCAACCAAAATACAATAGCCATTAAGATTTCATAATATATGCATACAAAATCTGATTCCAAAAATCGGGCACGCCCGGCAGACACCAATGTATGCAATCCGAATGTCGTTGGGCATTCGCCCGTTCTTCGGGACTCATTTTGCTAACCGACCTTCCGTAAATCGACGGATGGCCGTCTTTTCTGTAGTTTGAAAGACGCGTTATGTCAAGATACTCGACTTTTAGCCCTCTTTTTCCGAGCCTCTTCACGGTCGAGTTCACCATGCGCATCATCCAGAGGTTGATTTCGACTCCTAAATAGTCCTGTTTAAGAATCGGCTCGGTTTGGTTGTAGCAGTTTAGTTCAACATCCCAACTTTTGCCACTACAAAACAAAAACAAAAAACGATCAAAATACCGTACCTAGTTTCTGTCATACTAAGATATATGTATTTAGTGTTTGTAAAGAATAATACCTCAATGTTAGTGTTTGGATCCAATATTTACTATTAAACTCCTTCATTTAACTTAAATCGATTATTCAATACACAACGCTATTTATGCTAAAACGCGTGCAATTTTTAAAGCGTGACGAAATGAAAATAAGAAATTATTACTGAAAGTGAGGAGGAGATTGACTCATGAAAAAAAGCTTTGTTTTCGTTCGGTTCACGTTGAGCTGCAGCCAGTCGGACCATGTTTCGATCACCATTTGGTACGGGCGGAGATTTTCTCCGACCCTTTTGTACGTCGTGTTCGACCCACCAAACGGTTCCCATCTGGATGTACAATTTTACATTTAAAAAGAGTTTAAACATTGAAGAAAAGAAAAAAAAAACTATTTTTTTATAGTAAACAAAGACCATAATAGAAAAAAAATAAGTCAGTGTGTATGAAAAACTTGATTTCGAAGATAACAACATTTAAATGTGGAAAACTTATTTGCATTGCAAAAAACAAGTTTTGAAACAAAATTTAAAATCAATGTGTCCAAAAAAACTAGGTTTCACACACAAAATTAAAAACAGAGGATTTTTCGTTCGTCATGTCTTTCTTTTCGGCAAAAAAAAAAATAATAATAACCGCTTACGAGAGTGTCATGGTCCGCTGCTGCCACCAAGAGAATGTATCGAAGACAAGAAAATCCGAATTTGTCCAATGCCGAGCGTGTTTCTCGATATCTTCGATTCTAATTATACGGTCCTTCACCTGATGATACCCCGGATTGTCTGCATTCGACTCGACTAGAAATGGTGACCAATAGAATCCAATTGTGGCATTGTACTCCTTCATGAGTTTAAAGACAGGAAAAAAAGAACTACATTTTAGTACATGCTTGAATGAAATTTGTTCTTAAATATACCAAACATAAAACTGTTGGTCGTGTGCTAGGCCTTAAGATACTATTCTTACAACAATTGACAGTATAAGTATGCATTTAGGCTGCTACTTCTTGTATCTTGGTATTACTTTGTTAATCTAATAAAATAATTACGTCGACGTGTTGTGATTGTATCAGCCCAACAGAACTTGTGAACATAACAAAAAAAAGTAAATAATCTTACAGGTGCCTGGAAGACAAACAAATTGCCTTTCCTGGTCCAGATTTTAGCAGTCGATTTGCTTAGAAACGGCTCGATCAGGCAAAGCATCGATGTCCATTGGTTTCGATTCAAAGAGTCACCAACAAAAACAAGGCTTTTTCCTCTAATTTTCTCCAGCAATGCGGTCCCATTAAACCTGATAACATTCAAAATCGAAACAAATTCGGAAGAAAGAAAAAAGGTTCAGTCGATTCAATTTTTTTATTTTCTAAAATAAATATATATGCAGGAGATTAAGAAACCTAGGAAGATCACAGCCATGAGGCTGCCATTTCCAACTTTGATACTTAAAATCCTTTCTCCCATTGTCCAAACAGGCAAAAGTGTTCTGCATGAATGAACATTGGCTCTCTTTGTACAGAGGATACGATTTTTCGTCAAAAACCCATTTGCCTGAAAATAAATCGCATCTCGAAGAGGAATCTTCGTGCTCGTCTTGATTTTTCACGGCCGATTGCTCGTTTTTCGAGCCATGTTTCATGGTCGGGCTTTTTACGTCGAGGGTTGGATAAATAGATGCAATTATGAAAGCTATGAGGAAGATGGCTATAAGGTAGTCAAGTTTGAGTTTATTTATCCATGTTTTTGAATTCATTGCTTCTTTCTTTTTTTTTTGGTGGGCTCTGTTTGAGAGTGTATGGTTTATTTCAAAGGACTTGTATATTTTCTAGTTTGTATTGTGAATTGATTTTGAGTAAGTCATATATAGTCATCTATTTATGATGAGTTATTATATCATGTGAAAGTTGTGTGGATTTCATATCATGGTGAAAAAAAAACCAAAATTTTTCAATTACCTTTGAAGTAAATTATTACAAATTAATTAATATACATAGAAAGGTTAAGTAGAAGGAAACAAGAGATATGTAACTCACATCAAATAGATGTGTGATTCACTTTGGATAAATTCTATATAAGTATGAAATTATGGAGAAATGCTCACCTACCGATGGTGGACACACTAATATGCCCATCGCGTAGGTGGCATGCACTCATTGGTGATGTATTTTTTTAAATATATTAACATCACCAATGAGTGAGATACCACCTACGCAGTGGGCATATTAACATGTGCCCACCGTGGGGTGGGGAACATTTCTTTTAAATTATGTTGATGTAATTGCTTTTTCTTGATCATAAGGAAAATATTTTACAATCATACTAAAACTCAGAATCAGTGGGCTTTGGCATGTGCAGAATCTTGGGCCCATCTAGCCTTCTTAGCCCAATCACTTGCAAACATTTTTTTTTAAATACACCATCCACCTACAAATTCCTTTTTATTTTTATATTTTTATAATTTTTTTAAAAAAAATATTACAATATACGAGTTAAATAATTATTTTTTGTTCATTTACATTTTCATTATTATTTTTTTAATTTATTATTAAATATTGAATGGTTTATTCTCGATTATATTTTAAATAATGTATATTTTTAAAAGTTTTCAAAAGATATATCAAACATGTAAAAAGTCTTTTCTTATTATTCTTCCTTTTTCCTATCTATCATTGACATAATATTATAATTAAAATTAAAATTCATCTTTAGCAGTTAGCACATGCACAATTAATTCAAAAATCTATAAAGTAATTTCCTAATCCAACGGCCAATGCCTGTTGGGAGTGTCACGGTTATTATCTTGTTGTTGGGATCCGACACTCAGGTATTCTCCTGTTGGGAGTTTTTTTAGTTTTTTGTGTTTAGTTCTTAGTTTTGTGTGTTTGGATTCTAGCGTTGCTAGTTTCGGGATCTTAGGCGGTCGTCGGACTTGTCCTCCTTTTTTTCTCCCGTTGGGAGCTTTGTACTTTTATTCGCACTTTGTGCGTTTTCATTTATAATAGTTCCTCTATGTTAAAAAAAAAAAAAA